TGATAAAAAATGAAAAACAAAATACTCACCGAGGTGTTTTCGCACCTCTTGATTTTTCAGGCATCTCCATTTGTTCTTGAAATAAGTTACTGTAGAGTATTTTTTGGAACATGTACAGGAGCACAAGCAACGATCGTCATTTTCTGTTTCATCTGTGGTATAGGATGTGTTGCAGTAATTTCTACATCCAGTACTTTCTTGGTAACAAACTGAATGAGGCATGTGAAACGAATCCACGCCATCTGTCCAGTTTTTTCCTTCTAGAGTCCTGATAATTTCGATAGATTCTTGGAAAGTAGTGTCGATGTAAAATAAAATTATTATCAAGACCTTCGTCTGTGATATCTTCATGATACCTCACCAGCGCACAAGCATATATTTTAAAATACAAGAGCCTTCCGACCTGAATAGTTCCGAATAATCCAGAACTAGTGAAGCTGTAGCGAGCAGAAAAGTCAGCTTCCAGATGTTGCTCCGGCTTGTTCGTACAAGTTTACAGGATGAATCTTGACACGTCTTCCCTCCCAGTCGAAAGTAAGCGACAATTCTGTGTTCGAAACAGTACTGTCATTGTTCCCTTTGTCACGCTTCTGCAATACGCTTTGTCCCTGATGAATAATTTCTACTTTAGATCCATTTTCGAAAATGAAAATTTACTTCCTAAGGTTCGTAACAAGGCAAGACTAAGATTTTTTTTTACCGATAATGATTATACCTGGTTGAACTTTGTTTCAGTCGGTAATTCTTTTCTTTAAAATCCCTCAGTGTGCAATACAGCATGGAGAATTTTTTTGCTTTGATTCAGTTTAGCTAGATGAAGCTCGTCGTGCGCGATGTAAAGAACAATAGATCAGTCAAAACCCGCAAGTATGAAAGCAATCATTGTTTGTTTCACAATTCTTCGAAATGACTCAGTCCTGGTTACTTACATATTTCAATTGCAATAATAGCATTCTGTACTATATAGATTTGTTAGAAAGAGTTGAATTCTCTAATTTCTCTATGAAACGTCTACTTCAAGCTCGGATACGATTGCATGGCGAAGATTCCCGAAAAACACCCGACCTCATTCTCAAGATCTCTCTTTTCTAGGTGCAGCCGCCAAAAGTGAGACTCTGGGAACCAGGTTGCTTCTGCCATAGTCAATACGCCATTTCCGAGTTCCCTTTTGCCTCTGTTTCATAACGAGTCTAAGTACGAAAATGACTTTGATTTGCATAAAAAATGAACCTGTAGGTGGAACCCATTTTCATATGAATGGTTTCTCGGAAATGGCCTATTACATGCAGTTTCCATGATTATCCAAATATTTGAGACCATGGTAAAGCTCGGATATACAAATTATCACACGAAGATTACCGAGGAAATTCGGAACACCAATTAGCGAAGGTCATGCCAGGGCTTCTATGATAGAAACTGGAACTCGGAAGTGACTTTGTAAGACATTGGTTTACTGTTTGCTTATGTTGGACTAGGAAAATGATAAAGTTTCTGGATGGGAAATAGCTACTCTGGGTTAGGGTAGGGGTTTTTGGTGCCTAGTCTAGAATAGCGTTACAAAATCAAGGTGATCATGGTCTAGGGTTACAGTGTCCCAGCGGCACACCCCTTCCCAAAGATCTAGAGAGTACCTCCTGTGGTTTTGATCAGTGTCTGCTTTCTCCACGCCTGCCACCGGTTGGATGTCTTAGCTTCGAATTCTGACTGGGTCAGTTCGTTAGCTCTTTGTTGTGATTGGCCAAATACGATTCCTTTGGGTTTGGTTAAACGACTAAAATGAAAAACTAAAAATCTAAATTAAAAATTGGTTTATGTATTTCGATCAACACTGCCGTAGGTAATCTTGAAAGGGTTTTTTATTTTTGCTTATACCCCACCCCGGATATATGCCCCTTCCGTTTATAAGCCCATCCAAAAACCCCTTACGAAGTTGTCTAAACCCAGGGCTATAAGTCGCAGTTTACGGTCTGTCTACTAGATCGCATTGGATTGGATTTTATTAATAGAAGTTATTTTTATGTGTGTACCATTCGGTCTACCGTGAACAAATTGAAGATCAATAATTTTCTCACGCCAAAAACGCGACTCTTGAAAACGATTTAAAACGCCCCCGCGTTGACAACGCACTGAAACCTATCTTGAGGACTTCCACCCACTTCGCTTAATTATATCTTTCTTTCGGGATCAGTCAAAGGGATGGGAAAATAAACTTTTCTTAAAAGTCTGATTTCGCTGTTTAAATGGAGTGACGACGCTTTCAAGTGTCTTTGAAAATCTCCACGTTGGAAAGCGTTTTCCGGGAAAATTTTCCGTTTCTGTGAAGAGTGAGTGAGTCATCGTTTTCAATCTTTCAAGTGTGAATGCTAGGTCAACAAATATTCCAAAATTAAAGGTTTTCATTTTCTAAGGCACGTGATCCGGCGTAACTTTTGGTTACAACCCAGCAAAAACGGAGCACACAAAACATTTCATTACGGATATTTTATTTCTGTCATTTGGTTTTTGAAATCGCTATATTTAGAATAAAATTGACTCTTCAAAGAAAATTATACTAGGGAAAATTCAATTCCTTTTGCCGATATTCAGAAGAAAAAATACTTGCACGTAATTGCAACAGTACAGCCGGAGCTAAATCATCTTACATCCAGAGACATTTTAGTCCAATGGAGCGAAACTCGTGAATTTGATTACTAATAAAGTACCTCGGCTGACTGAGAATAAGTACAGTCTCATTAAAACGGTTTCGTTGTTCATATAAGAACAGAAATAAAATGTAACCTAGCTTACGTTTGTTTCTCTTCTTCGCATGATACCATAGTTAATCAGTTTTTCTTTTCTTTTTTTTTTTTTTTTTTTTTTTTNAAGTCACGATATTAAAAGTACAAGTGAATTTTCAAGTTCACAAAAAGACCACGAATTAACATTACAGTCGTAAACTGAAAGAGTCTTTCTTGTGTATAGGATTGTGTAGCAGGAATGTAATGATTTGAGAGTTTTAAACGCGCCTAAAACACAATAGATTTTCTTTCTTGCATTGCATGATACCACTGTTCATTTAATTTTCTACTGAAATAATGATCGCTACTATTATAACTGATTGAATCTCCCTTAAAAATAATAACTCCCTTTCCTTAAACTAAACGAAACTTTGTCCTGCAAAGGAATACTTAGAGGTGAAAATTTATCTTATTATCTTAATGCAATGATATCCTTGCATGGACAATTGCCTTAGATGCCTTGGGCAAAAATTTAGCCTACTCACTCAGTATGGTTAGACCAACTGCAGGTTAATTTTTTCACTATTCATTATTTTAATTCAAATAAATTAAGGATGAGAACACGAAGTTTCAGTTTTTCATCAAATAAATTTGTAAGATTCTCCCTCTGAGTTGCAAAAGGTTATTTAAGGTAGCCTACACTGCACATTAAAATAAGAAGTCTAAATTTCAATTCGGAAAATTTTGAAAAAGACAAACAGCATCAGTCGAAAGTAATACTCAATAGATTTTGTTTGAATGGTCACGCTAAAGAAGGTAGAAACACATTAATTGACTTTAGAATTAATCATAAGAATGAGTGAGGTTTAGGACAATTTGCAGGTTTTATGAAGTTGATCTTTTTCAGTATGATGTGTTTGGAGGGAATTAATATTAGTTTTTCTACAAATATGGTACCAACGCTAGAGAAATTATATGTTTAGCGTCATGTTTGAGTCAAATACGAACATCTTTTATCGATTGTTTGATCAAGGGCGACCCTGTTCTTTCGAACTAATTGAAAACATCATGCAAGTGGTAATCGAAGTCGTCAGTAATAAGTACACTGGACAAGCTTGCTAAAAACAATTCAAACCCACAGTCAACACCAGTTAATTATGACAAAATCAGTTGACGCCGTCAAACTGTCCGCTTACTTAGAGGTGTCGGTTGTACATGCAATTCCAAAAAAGGCCTTAAAGTTCAATTTTTCATAATAGAAAAGTACATTATTATTTACATCAAAATTAATTACACTTCTTTCACATTCCGTTTGAATAAACAATGAAAACAATGACCTTGCTAGCCATGCCGTGAGGTCTGTGTAAATGATAACAAAAAAATGGCTGAGCATATTTCATTTTAACTGATTGTCATTCATGCTGGTCTAGAAGTGTTATGAGACCATTCCGAAGCGTTTTGTACTCAATGGACTGCTATAAAAAACAAAAAATTCGCATGCCTTTATGTCTGCCGAGTATGATGTCATTGACAGAAATTAATATATTATCAATTATCTTAATCAAAGGATCACATAGACAACTCGTTGAATTATGGTTCTATTACGTTATCTTCAGTAAAAATCTAAATGGAGGCATTTCATTGTTTTTTTGTAGAGCTACGGTATACGTTGTTTTATTGACTTCACTTTCAGTCTGTACGGCTTCGATTGTTTGCTGCTTATCTATGCGATAAAAACTCGGATCTTATATTGAAATATTCTGTTAGTGCTTTTCTAAGCATGAGCTGAAATGTGTACTTATCGGTCAGGAAGTGTGGTCACAAAACAAGGAAGTGTCGTGCGAAGGGAAAACTTTGCATCGATATGATCTAAATTATCTATAATACAAACAATCGAGAAAGCTTTCTTTGTCAGAAATCCGGCCGTTCTAATGAATGGAAAGATAATCTCCACTCAATTGACTTTCAAAACAACAGTCTTAGCAGATAAATTGACTTTTGAAAAATCAGTTATAGCAAAGAGTAAATTGTGGACTTATTTTGTGAAAACTGTACATGGCTTTGTGTACAAGAGTATGTCTAAGTCAGTTTTAACGCGCGTTTTTGTCGTTTTCCCTTCTCGAGAGTCCGGATATTTCGCTCTGTGGTTCGAGAAAAGTATTTACATAAGAACTGTCAAAACAGCAATTTATTTTCAATTACGACTTCATTAGACTTCAATTCCGGCCACGCGGAAATTACAAAGGCATTCTTTTTGTTCTTAGAGGGATAAAAAACGTCTGCCTTAGAATTGAGCATCTCACAGCTTCACTTGTCCACAAAGAAGGAACTCACTTCTACACAAATAGGAACAAGAACAGACCTCTAATCTCAAACATTCAAGATGAACTCCAAAGTTATCCTCGTTTTTGCTCTCTTAATCTTCGCTGTTTCTTTTGTGCCAGAAAGTGAGGCTTTCACGGCTGGAGGCGGCGGTAACATTCCAAGAAAGCGAGAGTATGAAGTAAGTTCTTTAAGTTAATTGTTTCATCTTGCGGTCCTTGGTTATTTTAATGTCTGATTATCTCGAGATTGCGTATTTTATACTTTACTGTCGACTAAATTCGTTTCACATCAACTAAACGAGAACTCTTAAAGTACGTGTATGAAAAAAATGTTCACCCCTAGAAATAAAAACCTTTGAATTCAAATAAATAAGAAATCAAATAAATTTTTAACTTAGCTCGGAGAATAATCAAAGCAATTTTTGTTCAACTTTCAGTGATAACTCAAACCTTCATGAAGAGTGTTTAGTTCTGTAGTTTTGTAATAGTTTTTAATAGTTTTTTTACCACGGTTAAAACTCTAAAACTCTATTGACAAATTTTCATCCTCCGTTGCGTGAGACAAATTTTGTAAATCGATAGGTTTGCCGTTTTCACGAGATCATCATTTCTTAAACTTAAGTTGAGTCGCTTTTACAAAATTAGTAATTTTGATTTTATAAATTTGTTTTTAAGTCTGAGAAAATAAATCGTTTCGACGATATTGAATTAAAAGCAGTCGCAGATGATTAATATTTTGTTTGGGAGGTTCACTGGAGTCCCTTCGAAGAGATGACCTGTTTTCGTTAGGTTTTGAGGGGAAGGTGAATTTATTTTTAGAACATTATTAGTCGCATCATAATTTTTTGAAAGCTAAATCCTTTCAACGATATGACCAGCAAATTTACCGTGAAATTCCCACAGAGAAAGAATAAAATTGATCGTTTTATCTCCTTTTTTTTCTTGTAAACACGTTTTAACACTGTTCAGCAATAAAGCAATGCAATTTGTTGATAACAATCACTGAACATATCACTTCAAATGAATATTAAAAACCTGCGTTCTCTGTTTAGAGCAAAAGGTTACTTTCCCATTTTCAGTTGTTGTTGTTTTTTTTTTTTTACTTGACCATTGTTTATCGTTAAGCTGTACAAATTATCGTTGTCTAAATCTTTAAGTTCTGATTCGCCATGAACTATAACTAGGCCGCGCCATTGAACGGAATCTAGCATGGTCAGCGAAGAGTGTAAAAGATCTTGAATTAAATACGTATGCACAATTCATTATCCAAAATCAAATTTAGGCCTTTTTTAAATATCAGTTGAATGAAGGAGCGATGTCTCGATGAACAAAATTCTCTTCCTATCGAAGGGAATAAAATAGCTTGGGGTAGAGATCAGAGACACCAATAAAACAGGAAAGGAGCAACGAAGGTTGTTATTAAATAAGGTTGAGTCCAATTACAAATGGCGCACTTGAAAAATTTAAGCGACATATTTTAAAATTTAACATCTGCTTAAAAGTTCTTTTACATCAAGAAAAATTACCTAGAACTTTCTCTTTTGGTTAAATTTAACTCATTAGTTTCATTCAGGTTGTGTAATTAAAAATAGGTGAGAAGTGCATGTATGTACACTGTTTGTTCGCGCGCCAAAACAAGCATATCACCGCGCATTTGCCAACTGACTGACAGCTGCTCAAATATATACCTCATGTAACGCCTCACAAAATATCTTTTCTATTTCAGCACCAACTCGCCGGGAGGGCTCTCTGTGCGGCAGCCAGGAGTCACTGCAAACGGGAATTTCTTGACGACAGTGAATGAACCAATCCCATCACATGGAACTGATCTGATTCCTTACAAGCAGCGACAAAATTCTCTAGCTCTGGAGTCGGCCTGTCATTCGTTATTGAAAAATCGTTAAGTAATGTAACAAATGCTATTGTAAATGATCGAGAAAATGTTTAATCGCAATTGTGAAATAATACAGGCACCGACGAGGCCAGAATAAACCTATTTTTGAGCGCATTTTGCTTGTATTTTCTTCCGCTCTGGTGTATTTTTCTTCGTTCCCGTTCTCGATCGAGAGTTGTTCATTTCTCAAACCGCAAAAATGGTTGAATAAAAGGCTTGTAAATATTTCTTCAAAAACCATGGGTCTCTCAAAATTTTCGTCGAATTTCAGGGGTTTTGTAGTCTCGTTCTTTTACCGTTTATATGCTTCTAACAGTCTCTCTTTTTCTCACAAAGCTGTCTCAAAGTCCTGATTTTTTGAAAAACTAATAAGAAAGTCGCAAAGTCTCGATTCGTTTGTTTGTTTTATAACTAACGTCTGAACATCTTTCTGAATAGAATCTGAATGTCTAGCACTCTCATTAAAAACACTTTGAAGTCTCTGTCTCGCAATTTGAAAATTCAAATTTTTCTCGGGTTCACAAAAGCTAGTCTCGCTTTCTCGCATAGTCTCTCATTTACCATCCCCTGATAAACACAACCGAATATGAATCACCCACTTTTTAAATTTTATAATTCCATTGTTAAGAAGTTTCTCTACAACTACATTCAGATTACGATTTTAACGAGTGACATAATTTCATCCCACATATAATGAATTTTCCTTACTTCAAATGTGCATTGAGATCTTTTTGAGGTATTTTATGGCTTTTGTATTGGTATGTTCATCAAAACAGTTTAAATTCAAATTCGCGACTTTTAACGACTTTTAAATCTGATTTTCACCAAATCCTTTCACAAACACAATTTCCTCAAAACATGAAATCTTGTCTCCCACCTCCAGCGTCACCAACGCGGAAAAAGGCCCCCAAAAAACACCTTTTGAACCATTTTAAACCCCAGGGGTTATTTAAGACTCCTAAGAAGGTTGCGGGCTAAATTCCGAGTACTCTTCACAACAACTAAGGGAAAGAAAATCTAAAAAACTGCACATACGAAAAACAGGGCGAGGAAAACTAAGCTGTAATATGTAAAAGGCATCGAACGACATTTTGTGTCGGGGGGACATCCTGTCTTCCAACATTATAGGTACCCGCGAGGGCAGAGGGGTGTCAAAGAGTTGAAGAAGAGGTATATCGTAAATGGTGTCCACATCTGACCGGGGTAGAGTACATATACCCCAAAATAGCTGACGTTCATGGATTTTCACCATATAGGTTTGGCAGGATGCGGGATAGGAGTGAAAATGGAGGTGGGATTCGGGATGACAGAAATTTTATTGGCCGGATGCGGGATAAAAATACTTCAACGGGAGCGGGATTTGCTCATTTTAATAGGCAGGATGCGGGATAGTTTTAAAATTGATGGCGGGTTGCAGGAAAACAGAAAGTCTCACGTTACAGACGTCACGCGGAGAACTGCAAGTCTGACTGAGCGGGATCGGGATAAACTTTCTGACCGGGTCGGGATAGCGGGATTGAGGCAAAAATAGTGGAAGGATGCGGGATTTAAAAAGTCTATGTTAGACCCTCTTCATAGTTTAATGCTGTCGACGTGGTGAGGGGAAGGTTTGCCTTAATTAATGGGCCAGTTTGTATTCAAATGTTTCTTTATATTTCAGTACCATAAATAAGTGTACTGCCCATTTTGAGCAAAATCACAAAGAAAGTCACCACCCCAGGAAAAAAAAACTGATGTCAGTGTAGGTTAACGGTATTTTCTCACCTGATGGTCGATACTACCAGCGAAACAAAAAAGGCGGGAGATAAAATTAGCGCAAACGCAAAGGGGTACAGTGTGGGTAAAGGAGAAATTCATTTAGGGTTTGGCATTTAATAGGGATTATATGCATAGCATCGGAGTCGAACCTTCACTAACGACCACCCCTCTACAACGACCACTTGCTTTGATCCCAGCAGACAGTCAATATGCTCACTCTTATTTTAAGCTCTCTACAACAGTCACCTCTCCACAACTCATTAACTGTACGTGCTATCCAGTTCAAGCATATTCAAGACGTCACCGATATGTTATTTGTGGTATGGGCACGTTAATTTCTTTTCACCATTGTGCAACCGTGTGAACGAAATATGAATTTCAACTAACGTATTTCAATGTCCAAAAAGGTCAACAAAATGAGCAAGGTTTAACTGTAAATTTAAATAACAAAACCCTGATAAGTTGTGGAAACCAGAATCACTATTTGCAGGAAGCGCTCACAAACGAGATCTCAGTTTTATTTCATTATAATCTCGATTGGCGCCCGTAAGAAAATTAACCAAGGTAACGGAAAATACTGCGGGGAAAATCTCGAAAATTATGGTGTGCAACGGAATATGAATGAACTCAAGTTTTCCTTCTCAAGGATCATTTGATAACAAAATTAAATATAAGGAGACGGTCTCAGTATAATTTGATCTGCGTCGAAATAGAAAATTAAGTAACCTTTTCAATACACTGAAATATCTCACGATTACATTATAGCTGCTTCAATAATTTATACTTCCTGCACCGAAAAACAAGTTTTCCCTTTAGTTAATAATTTCATAAAGAATAGAAAAGTATATCTAATATATTCTGGCTGCATTTTTATTGTTTAACACAATTCTCCGTCGGGCGCTCCTGGGAATTGTGTTCCATTCAGCAAGAAAGGATCACCGTGACGACACGACCACAAGTTTTATTGGCATGACCAGAAACCATGACAACATTGTAAAAGTATCGGATATTTTTAAGAAAAAGCTGTGACGGTATTCACATAACTTGCCTCGCCAAGATGCAGGTGCTTTACGTGTATAAGGTTTGCTTGTTTGTCGTCATGTCTGTTATTTTGTCTTATTATTACATTGGTTTCGTCGGAGATGCTAATGTGACATTGAAGGATGCCGACGACTTTAGTTTGAACAAGAATATTTCTTTTAAGATGCTACAGCGAGTAAAAGATGCACTGGAGGAAGAACATTCGCCTAGAATTGGCTTTGACGACGATTTGATGTCAAGAGCAATTCAAGTTGGTAATCGTGCTCGCTTAAAAAACGTTCTCAAGAAAGCTTTAAGAGGTGAATACATCAATCTATTGGTCATTGGAGGGTCTAACAGCGCGGGCGGACAATTAGGACTTGACGAGAATAGTTTTGATGGATTATATTTCAAAGTGTTCGTGAAATGGTGGAACAACATCTTTAACAAAACGATCAAGTCCTTAGTGAAAGAGACTCATTTAACTATCGGAGCCACTGGGAGCCGTTTCTTTGCGTTTTGCTACGAAACGTTTTAATTATTGCAGAAGGTGAAAAACTCGATATTGTGTCAATAGAAATCTCAGCGAATGATTGTAGATTTCGGACAGCGAAACATTTGGAACAGTTAACCCGACAACTGCTTACGTATCCTTCAGCACCACAGCTACTTTATATTAATTTGGTAGCTAATCTGGGCTACCAGAGCGAGCCGTTTAATCCGACGTGCAGAAACCTAGAGACTTTTGGACAAACAGAGCTTGCGCACCATTATGAGATTACGTCATTCAGTTTGAAGGAAATACTTTGTCGCAAGAACAAAAAAGGTCGATGGAAAGTAATTTTAACAAACATGACTGGCTCCGATGGTAAACATATTGGCCTCAGGGCACATGCTCTAGTTGGTTTCCTGATGATTAAACATGTGAGCAACGTTTCAAAAGAACTTATTGATGACGTGTATGATGCTGCTGATCAAGTCGATGGAGGAAATGAAAGCTCTACTTTACCGAAGTTCTTGCTCATCGAACGTGAAAGCGAGGCTTTGAAAAAGCCATTATGCTGGACTGGAAAAATACCAAATGTTTTTAGAAACCTTCACCATCCAAATCTTCAACTTGAAGTTATAAACAACAGAAGCTTTTCACCGAGTTTTCAAGTCCGCGGAAAAAATTAAAGGGAAAGAGCGTGTCCAAAGAGCTTCGTACTGACTCTCAGGGAGGGTGGTGTGGGTGGAAAAGTTCAAGCACCCTTCAGCTGACAGTTTCCTCAGTTACATCACGATCTGCGATAGTTTTACGTAGGTTCTATAGCAGAGGCCAGGCTGAGATATGGCTGGATAACAATAAAGACAATGCTATTAAGACCGATTCAAACTGGAAACTGGATCGGTATTAATAATAATACAATCGCAACAAGAGTGAACCCTTGCTACCACACGATCACGGTCAGAACTTTACGGGACGGAGTGTTTATGGTTTCTGGAGTGCTTGTTGGACCCCCTGACTTTCGATTAGGGAAAGATGCGTTAGACTGTTAATGAGCAATGAATGTGAACTTAATGTCATTATTTAAGATACATTAGAGACTGACACTTGTAGATATTGGCATTTTGGCTAGACTAAGTCTCGCCAAAATACGAACCAAACACGCCTGATATTCGGCCAAAAAAAAATATAAACTAAGATTGTGTCGAGAGATGACTTGATAGTTTTGAACATTGCAAACGCTTTAGCAGGTTACAGACAAAGTCATCAGCTATTAACTGCTATTGGCGAGTTTATTTTAATCAAGTAAACAACGATTACTACAGTTGCTCAAGCGGCCGGCAAAGGTCAAACAAAAGTAATCCATTGATAAATTTCTTCCTTTCTTGTGTACATATATTTTTATTTATGACTAAAACAATTACTGAAGTTGTTTATCTCGACTAGAAAAAGCGGCGTATTTGTTTGCATGCGTAGTTTGTCATGCATATTTTAGATTTTCTATATATTGTAGTTCAGTTTCTATGACTCCACCTTAATTGTAATCAACACCACTAAACTGTCAGAACGCACTGTTCGTCTCAGCATCAAAAAGTATTGGTGGAAACTAGACAAACCTGACCTTATCTCATTAGCGAATAAGCCACTGTTAAATTTCGTAAGATCAATTCTCATGGAAATTTGCATTTTGAAACAGTTATCGGGCGTTCTTAAACACACTGAGAGTCACAGAGCATTGTTTTGAAAATAAAGCATTGTGACTGAGGGTTTTGCCATTGAATGTTATTGAAACGAGTTCCGAATATACTGTATGAAACCAGGGTGGTTTATATAAATCGTCTATGATCGTTATGTAGCTGAAATATTTGTCTCGTAATAAATATTTCTTTGTCGTTTTAAATCTAAAAATAAGATTACAGCTTCGGCATCAAAGATACTACCATAACCACGATAAAGTTAAAGTAGTTGTAGTGCAGTATAGTCTCGGTGGACTCCCATATAAAAAGGACCGCGGTGCTAAAGGGAAATTTTAAAAAGAACCCCTAAGAGGTTCCAAGATTCTGTTTTGTGGACGTGACTTGAATTTTTTTGTCCCCCTAAGAGGTACGAATTCTAAAACAACACATCATCTCCCGTCATATTGTTTTCCGTTCAATATCTTAAAAGGCATCGCGAAAGCTCCCACCGTGGATCTTTGGAGGCTGAACACCCAAGCTTGTAATTCTATTTGTCGTCATTGCAGCAGCTGTTATTGTTTTGGAGCTAGGGGGCACTGTTTCTTTTGTTTGTTCTATTGCCCTCTTAAAGAGTTTCAAGCCATTCATGTGAGACCTTACGAGAGCTGCAACATGACCTGAAAACTCTAAGAGGTACCCAAACCTCTTTTTTAACCCCTTCAAGGTACGACGAGCACCCTATCATTTTTAAATGGGATTCCCTCCCGGGAGTATAGTACTTTTGTAGAACACTACACACAAGGTCTATCAAAATATGGATAAAACCTATCGCCTGATAAAATCTTGTTTCCAATGTATCGTTAATTTCACTGTCTAAGATATCGCAGCGCCGTTAGCAAGTAGTTTCCTTGGAACCTTCCTCTGCAGTGTCGCCGTCTGGTTTTTTCCTACATTTAGGATCACGTTTAATTCCCTTGCGGCGGGAATTCCGATACAACCGCCGTAGGATGTTAAGAACTGGGTCCTGAGTCCTGGGTCCTGGGTCCTTCGTAGGTCCTTCGTAGTTTTTAGGGACCTCTGAACCTTCAAGATGACGTTCCTCCATAATGCTGCCTTCTGGTTCACTTTCACGTTGAGGATCACATTTAGAACCTTCGTGAGAATTCTGATGTGACCTCTCTAAAGTGCTGAAAACCAGCCCGTTCGGAGTGATTTGTACATAATGTTTAGGGACTTCTGATCCTGCAAGATAACGTCCCTCCACAATGTTGCCTTCTGATTCACTTCCGTGTTCAGGATTATGTTTAGTTCCTCTGACGGAGTCCCGATACAATTTCTCTAAAATGTTGAACACCGGTCCGTTGGGAGTGATTTCTACATATTGCTTAGGGACCTCTGAACCTTCGAGGTAGCGTCCCTCCACAATGCTGCCTTCTGATTCATTTCCACTTTTAGGATCACATTTGGATCCTTGACGAGAATTAGGATGTAACCTCTCCAAAGTGCTGAAAACTAGCCCATTAGGAGTAATTTGTACATAATGTTTAGGGACCTCTGAACCTTCAAGATAACGCTCCTCTACAATTGTGTCTCCCGGTTCAGTCCCACGCTCGAAATCATATTTCGATCCTCTGACGGAATCCCGATACAACTTCTCTAAAACGTTGAAAACTGGGTCCTTCGGGGTGATTGGTTCATAATGTGAAGGAAGCTCTGAACCGGCAAGGTAACGTTCCTCCACGATGCTGCCCCCTGATTCATTGTTACATTTAGGATCACATTTAGAATCTTTTCGGGAATTGCGATGTGACCTCTCTAAAGTACAGAATACTAGCCCGTTGGGAGTGACTTTCACATAATGTTTAGGGACCTCTGAACCTTCAAGATAACGTTCCTCTAAAGTTTTGTCCACTGGCTCATTTGCACACTCAGGATCATGCTTAGATTCTTTAACGGAATCTCGATACAATTTCTCCAAAATGTTGAAAACTGGTCCGTTCGGAATGATTGGCTCATAATGTTCTGGGACCTCTGAGCCTTCAAGGTAACGTTCCTCAACAATTTTGTCCTCTGATTCATTTCCACATTTGGGATCAGATTTAGATACTTTGCGAGAACTGCAATGTAACTTCTCATACCTTTTGAAACCTGGTCCGTTTGGAGTAATTTGTACATAATGTTTAGGCACCTCTGAGCCTTCGAGATAACGTTCCTCCACAATGCTCCCTTTTTGTCCTCTTACGGGATCATAGTTAGATCCTCTGCGGGAATCCCGATACAACTTCTCTAACATGTTTAAAATTGCGTCCTTCGGGCTGATTTGTACATAATGAGAAGGGAGCTCTGAACCTTCAAGATAACGTTCCTCCACAATGTTTCCCTCTCCCTCGACTCCTTCGCGTCCACATTCGGGATCATTTTTAGATGCTTTGACGGAATCACGATACAATTTCTCCAAAATGTTGAAAATTGGGCCGTTCTGAGTAATTTCTACATAATGTCCGTGGAGCTCTGAACCTGCAAGGTAGCGTTCCTCCACAATGCTGCCTTCTGATTCATTTCCACATTTAGGATCATGTTTCGATTCTTTGCTGGAATTGTGATGTACTTTTTCTAAAGTGCTGAAAACTTGTCCGTTCGGGGTGATTTTTACATAATGTTTAGGGACCTCTGAACCTTCAAGGTAGCGTTCCTCCACGATGCTGCCATTTGGTTCATCTCCACCACATTTAGATCCTTTGCCGGAATTCCGATGAAGTTTCTCCAAAATGTTAAAAAGTGGTCTGTCCCGGGAGTTGACTTCTGGTTCATTTTCACATTTGCGATCATGGTTAGATCCTTCCCGAGCATTTCGAAATTCTAGAGTACTAAAAGTTACTTTGTTCAGAGAAGTTTGAACATAATGTTCAGGAACCTCTGAACCTTCGAGATAGCGTTCTTCCACAATGTTTCCGCCCTCTGGTTCACTTTCACATTTAGGATCATTGTTAGGTACTTTGCGGGAATTTCGATATACTTTCTCTAAGGTGCTGAAGACTAGCCCATTCGGAGAGACCCGTACATAATGCACGGGGACTTGCGAGCCGTCAAGATAACGCTCCTCCAAAATTTTCTCCTCTGGTTCATCTGCACATTTAGGACTATCATGTCCATTCTTGGAGGGATCAGAATAAGGGACGTCTGATGAGCTGAAAATTGGCCCTTTTGAAGTGATTTGTACATAATGAGCAGGAACCCTCGAGCCTCCAAAATATCTTCTGTCTAAAACATCATACACTGGTTCATCTGCATCTTTAGGAACATTATCTCGATTGTTATCGACAGACGAAGGCCTCTCCATTGAGCCGAAAATTGGCCCGTTTGGGGAGGTTTGTAGATAATGAGCAGGAACCTTTGAGCCTTGAAAATATCGTCTTTCCAAAACGTTGTATATTGGTTCATCTTCACATTTTGGATCATCTTTGGAACTGTTGGAGACCTCAGAATTAGGTTTTGGGGAGGAGCCCCGGAAAAGCTCCCTTACTGTGCAGTAAATTGGTTCTTCAGGTCGGTCCGAGGAGATGGCACTGGATTGACCATTCCCATCTACACCTTCCGGGTAGGGTCCCTCGAAGACGTAATACATTGGGTCTTTGTTTTTATCATTTTTATTATTATTCTCTTCTGGTCCATTGTCTTCCGTTGCATGGTCTGTTGGTGGTTTTTTGTTTGTAATTGGCCTTTCAAGAACGTAATCAAACGGCGCTCGGGTGTTTCCTGGGTGACGTTGTGCAATGTCTGCTGGAGCATACCAGCGGCATGGTGTGTCTTCATCCTCTAACGAAAGGTTTATCTGGGAGAGTGGTGCGTCGTATTCAGGGATTTCAAAAGGTGACGCATTGAGTGAATCTGAAAGAAGAGAAAGAATTAGCAAACAAACAAGTCAGATTACGCGTGCTCTGCGTTACATAGACACATTCTGATTACATTATAGTTTAAATAAATTGTGTAAGACCCTATTAAGCTCTAGGGAGGCTTCGTGGATTTCAATAGGGACCTAAAGAGAAGGAAATAGGGAGGGAATCCATGTTTTAGATCATAAATCAACTTGAGACAAGGAGCGGATATCTCTGCAGATGATACATCTAAAAACGGAAGTTCCTGCAAAGTAACTGTTATGCTGTTCATACGGTGCATTGCAATGTAATTTTGAACACGGAAGGGAGAACTGCCATACGAGGCTTATTAAAAGGCTCAAACAAATCGGGATAGAACTGGTGCATGCAAACCTGGTTTATGCAAGATTGCGTAACAGAACGTCTGAATATCAAGAACTTACATGGATACTTGGACTCCAATGTATTGCAAGAAGCTCTGTCACGATCAGGCGGGTTTGCTCGGTCTATTTGTGGGCTCATCACCAATGTGTCCTGCGACAGATGCAATTGATACAGATTAGAGCCAAACAAAGCGCACGTGGTCATGAGAGCCAAACAGAAAAATGCCGTTGTCATTCTTAGTCCTTAAAGGAACTCAGTCGCGGTATTTTGTTATTTTGGCCACTTACAAAATTACGTATAAATTGAAAACCTGAAAATCATAGTTGACTAAGACAGCAAAACATTAAAGAGATAATAAAAAACTTTAAAGAAGCAAGAGTGGTTAAAGATAGGAAAATGCAAACAACGAACTTGAAAAATTTAGGCTTAACTTTCAAGATGTACAAACCGTGACGTAGCTCCTTCAATATACTTACCATTGTGGTTTCACTGATGGTGTCTGATCTCGAACGCAGCCTCTTGCTATAAAAGCAACAGTTGGAATAAATTAGTCTATTTAATAACAAAGCGTAAGGTAAAGTACTCTTGTACCCTGGATGGGAAACAAATGTATTGCAAGTTTCCCCTCGAGCACTTAATTAATCGATGAGCCAGTCAATCATGACCAGTTACTTGATTGTAATGATATCCCTCGTTATACCTCCGCACTAATCAGTGATACCATTCTTCTTTTCTGGATACTAAATTAAACAAGGAAGATATATTTGCCTTCAAATTCAAAATTACTACTAATGGGGCAATTCTTAGAATTCCTTTTTTTCGCTTGACAGTAATAAATGACAACTGCCACCACCATTCTCGTAGGTTCGCATTTTTTCAGACTTTCCCCCAACATGATATGGATTTTTAAACAAAATAACAATGTTTCAACGTCGAACAATAAGATCTTGATCCCACCCGACACACTAAACTTAAAGTAGCGACGTCCCTGTTTGTACATCTTGAAACATTTATCCTAAATTTTTCGTGATTGTAATCCGTGTTCATCTTGTCCATCCTTAACCATCCTTGTTCCTTTGTGGTTTATTGCCATCTCTTTGGTATTTCTCTACCCGCTTAGGTACTACCTCTAGGTTTTCTTCAATTTAAGGGTAGTTTTGTACGCGGCCAAAATAACTCAACATAGTGTGACTGAGCTNGTAGCTCCTTCAATATACTTACCATTGTGGTTTCACTGATGGTGTCTGATCTCGAACGCAGCCTCTTGCTATAAAAGCAACAGTTGGAATAAATTAGTCTATTTAATAACAAAGCGTAAGATAAAGTACTCTTGTACCCTGGATGGGAAACAAATATATTGCAAGTTTCTCCTCGAGCACTTAATTAATCGATGAGCCAGTCAATCATGACCAGTCACTTGATTGCAATGATATCCCTCGTTATACCTCCGCACTAATCAGTGATACCATTCTACTTTTCTGGATACTAAATTAAACAAGGAAGATATATTTGCTTTCGAATTCAAAATTACTACTAAGGGGGCAATTCTTAGAATTCCTTTTTTTCGCTCGACAGCAATAAATGACAACTGCCATCACCATTCTCGTAGGTTCGCATTTTGTCAGACCTTCCCCCAACATGATATGGATTTTTAAACAAAATAACAATGTTTCAACGTCGAACATTAAGATCTTGATCCCACCCGACACACTAAACTTAAAGTAGCGACGTCCCTGTTTGTACATCTTGAAAAATTTATCCTAAATTTTTCGTGATTGTAATCCGTGTTCATCTTGTCCATCCTTAACCATTCTTGTTCCTTTCTGGTTTATTGCCATCTCCTTGGTATTTCTCTATCCGCTTAGCTATTACTTCTAGGTTTTCTTCAATTTAAGGGTAGTTTTGTACGCGGCCAAAATAACTCAACATAGTGTGACTGAGCTCCTTTACACGTCGAAAATTTGGAGTGCCGTGCCCACAAATGGTCAGCACGGTGCCAAAAATGCCGTGCCGTGCCGTGCCGATTTTTTTAGCGCGTGTAGATGGGATTTCAGTTTAGAACAGTAGTATCTATAGCCTTTTCAAAGTTACCTTGAATATCGACGGCGATACACGAGGCTGACAACAATGGCGGCTACGATTACGAGTGTAATAGGTATTACAGCGATGAGTCCCGCAGAAGAAGATTCTTTGTCTCTACTTCTTTCACGATCCTGGCTGAGAGTAGGGGGGACCTAGACGAAGAAACAACAAAAATGACAAAATTGTTAATAATTTAACGGAGGTTGTAGGAGAAATTTTCAATAGAAAAAAGTGCTTTTTCAGTAACCTGATGCACACATAGGAGAAAGCTTGGGAGAATTGAAAATTTATAAAAGGAAAGATGGAATCACGCGCAAGAGTTTTTCCAGACTTCCTGGTGTGCTTTTATCAGAATAAATATGTGTAAGCAAAAAGTGGCCACTTATATTAATCAAAGGCAACAAAATTCAATGATACATCTTCCCAAATTCACAACCAGTTAGTTCACGGTATTATGAGACGAAAACGTGATAATATCTAGAAGAATTTGAAGCTATAGAAATAAGTCCTACTTTTTTTCATTTATAATACTATATTTCATTGTCTTACATTTGATGCTAAGCCAGTCTGGTTATTGTGGGATGTCTGCGGCAGGAGAATGCGAGGTGTCTGGGAAGTACCAGGACCTTTTGGTGGCATTTCTGAAATCTCAGAGTCAGTCGGTGTGGTATGGGGCTCCGTCGGCGAAACTTCAGAGGCAGTCGATTGAGCGCCGGGCACCCGTGGTAAAACTACGGAGGCCGCCGACAAGGCATAGGATGCTGTCGATGAAATGTCGATGTCAGGCTGTACATGCGGGGTGTTACGTACCAGTGGTGAAACTTTGGAGAGGATTGCTTGCGTTTTAGAAGCACCAAGTGAAACTTCGGAAGTTGTTGCTTGGGTGACACCCCCAGTCATTTGGGTAGTGGGTGCTATGGGTGACATCTCGGAGATGGATGGTTGAGTAGCGGAGGTTGTCGGTGAAATCTTCGTGACGGTTGGTTGTGAAACTGCCGATTGCGAAGCGGAGGCTGTTGGCGAGATATTGGTTGTGTCCCAGTTGGTTGAAACTACGGAGATGGTTGGCTGGGAGGTGGAGTCTGTGCGTGAGATTTCGGTGATAGCAGAGTTGGTAGCAGAGGTCATCGAGGAAATTTCGGTGATGGTCGTTTGGGTTTTGAGGTATGTCGAAACCTTGGAGATAGCGAGGGTATGTGATGGACTGACAGACATGATGGCACTTGAAGCGTTTTGCTGAATGATTGAAGAGTGCGAAGGTGTTATCCTTGAAGTTGACAGCACTCTTAAGGATTTTTCCATTGAATGTATGGTTGAAGATCTTGTCACAGTCGCGTTGGTTACAGGGCCTATGAAGAGATGAGCATGCCAATGAAATAAATACTCCGGCACGGTTTGCGCTTCTTGAAAAGTTCAACCTAAATTTTTTAAGTTCGTCGCTTACAATCCCTGTTAATCATCTCCATCCTTGCTTAACCATCCTTGTTCCTTTATGGTTTATTATTATCTCTTTGGTGTCTTTCCATATCTTAGCAAACTACTATTTTCAGGTTTCGTTCAATTTAAAGGTAATTTTGTGTGTGGAAAAAATAACTCAGATTACCTTGATTGAGCTCCTTTAAATGTCAACAGCAACAATTTTCTTTGTTATCACGAAATCCAATGAAAAATCATTTTCTTCCCGTAAGGACTAATGAACGTGCCAAATTACGCTTAAGTATATATGTAGCAAATTTTACTCCTTTTAACACGGTGTGTACAAAATTCTTAAAAGTGGTTGTTCACCAAAAATAACAACCATGACAACCACCATGCGCACGTGGGTCCCCGGGGGGAGTATGATGAGATGCTGATCGGTGTTACTTACACATGGCATTTCCTACAAGCTTGAAAAGAAGGCAGCGTGAATCAAATTGGACCCGTTGTGTAGTCTGTATCACTCTGCAGTCTATAACCAAATTCATTATCTTCCCCCGGAATATATTTGTACCTGGTACATTTTTGTTTACCTGTGAGAAAAGCAAATTTATATGTAAGTTAACTTACAAACTTATACAAATCCTTCCATAGTTAACTGTAGAGGAAAAAGTACAAAATTATTGAGTCCGCATTGTTTTCTTGGTTCTAAACTTGCGGTTCAATGTCCGTTTCTTGATTGCCCAGGTACACTTGTCACAAATTGCCATGAGACTAAAATACAACTCGATTTAACGGTACAGTTAAAGGTACAGTTAAATATTTGTACCTGGTATATTGTTGTTTATCCAAGAGAAAAGCAAATTTCTATTGACTTATAAACTTATACAAAATAGCTAGCTTTACAGTCAGTCCATCATCTTTTGAAAATCTACAGAATTTTTCTTTGTTCGGAAAATAAGACTACTCGATAAGTGAACAGTTTTCGGTGGGTCATTTTCGGATATTATTAGCCATTTAGTTGCTCCATCAAAACTAGATAGACAATAGCCTACGTTTGGCGCGAAAATATGTTCAAATATTTGACCGCGGACATTGTCGGTTGTGAGAAGCGATCAGTTTTCCGAAAGCGTAGCTCGAGCAAATATTTTTCGCAACACACGCAGTTTTGAAAATTGGGGAGTATCCTTTGGATAGTCCCCAGTTTTACTTGGGGCATATGCATTCATGTGACGTGTTTAGACCAATCGTACGCAAGCGAAGATATTTGATGGATTATAAACAATTATTTGAGGAGGTTTTTGTGATATCCAGAATAGTCAAGGTCAAGGTAGGGGTTACCAGCCGAAGCCGAAGGCTGAGTCTGATAACCCTTACCGAGACCTTGATTATTCTGGATATCACAAAAACCGAATCCAATAATTGTTTTATTATACATTGAAGGAAAAGAAATGGAAGTCATGTTTTTGCTTCTTCACTGACGGCAAGCAACACAAAGCGCGCGAACTTGACATGATTACCCGTAGAAATCATGCACCGCGGTCATACATGACATGATTACCCGTGACCTTGAGTGTCCTTGACACGATTATTGTATAATCTGTAGCTAGATGACGTCATAGGCGCTGATTTCGAAAATTCACCGTACGCTTTCGGCCAATCAGAAAAGAGATGGTGAGTTCAATGTATAATAATCAAGCTTAACCCTCTCAAGTTATTTTTGACATCGTACTTAGTTCTTACGCGAATGTCATCACGCGCGTTGCATGGATGTTTTCGTCTTGGATTCCTTTCACAGGATTGGCTGTTT